CAGGAACCGATGGTACTGAAGGAAGAAGTCCAAGCTGCACTGAAGGCTTTGGCAAACAGCAAGGCTCCAGGAACTGATGGAATAACAATTGAGATGTTTCAACAAACGGATGCAGCACTGGAAGGGCTCACTCATCTATGCCAAGAAATTTGGAAGACAGCTGCCTGGCCAACCAATTGGAAGAGATCCATATTTATGCCCATTCCAAAGAAAGGTGATCCAACAGAATGCGGAAATTATCGAACAATATCATTAATATCACACACAAGTAAAATTTTGCTGAAGATCATTCAAATGTGGCTGCAGCAGTATATCAACAGGCAACTGCCAGAATTTCAAGCTGGATTCAGAAGAGGAGGCTGAACCAGGGAAACTATTGCTGATGTCAGAAGGATCCTGGCTGAAAGCAGAGAATACTAGAAAGATATTTACCTGTGTTTTATTGACTGTGTAAAGGCATTTGACTGTGTGCATCATAACAAATTATGGATAACATTGCAAAGAATGGGAATTCCAGGACACTTAATTGTGCTCATGAGGAACCTGTACATAGATCAAGAGGCAGTTGTTCAAACAGAACAAGGGGATACTGCGTGATTTAAAGTCAGGAAAGGTGTGTGTCAGGGCCATATCCTTTCACTATACCTATTCAGTCTGTATGCTGAGCAAATAATCTGAGAAGCTAGACTATATGAAGAAGAACTGGGCATCAGGATTGGAGGAAGACTCATTAACAACCCGTATTATGCAAATGACACAACCTTGCTTGCTGAAAAGGAAGAGGACTTGAAGCACTTACTGATGAAGATCAAAGACCACAGCCTTCAGTATGGATTACACCTCAACACAAAGAAGACAAAAATCCTCACAACTGGACCGATAAGCAACATCATGACAAACGGAGAAAAGACTGAAGTTGTCAAGGATTTCATTTTACTTGGATCCACAATCAACACCCATAGAAGCAGCAGTCAAGAAATCAAACGACACATTGCACTGGGCAAATCTGCTGCAAAAGACCTCTTTGAAGTGTTGAAAAGCAAGGACGTCACCTTGAAGACTAAGGTGCGCCTGACCCAAGTCATGGTGTTTTCAGTCGCTTCATATGCATGTGAAAGCTGGACAATAAATAAGGAAGACCGAAGAAGAATTGACGCCTTTGAATTGTGGTGTTGGCGAAGAATATTGAATATACCATGGACTGCCAAAAGAACAAACAAATCTGTCTTGGAAGAAGTACAGCCAGAGTGCTCCTTAGAAGCGAGGATGGTGAGACTACATCTCACATACTTTGGACATGTTATCAGGAGGGATCAGTCCCTGGAGAAGGACATCCTGCTTCGTAAAGTACAGGGTCAGCGAAAAAGAGGAAGACCCTCAACGAGATGGATTGACGCAGTGGCTGCAACAATGATTCTGAGGATGGCGCAGGGCCAGGCAGTGTTCCGTTCTGTCGTACATGGGGTCGCTATGAGTCGGAACCGACTTGACAGCACCTAACAACAACAACAACATATATATGCATTCCCAAACAACACAACAGATGGTAACTAACAACAACAATGCTCCTACTGAAGTTGGTCGCCAGGCCTTTCTTCCTCAGTCCACTGGGTGGAACCAAACCACCAACTTTTCGGTAGCCAAGCGAAAATGATTTTCACCACCCAGGGAACCTCCTCCGTCTCTTAACCCATTGAAAACTCATTGCCTTTGAGTCAATTCTGACTCATAGCGACCCTCTAGGGACAGAGTAGAACTACCCCCATAGGGTTTTGAAGGCTGTAATCTTTACGGAAGCAAACTGCCACTTCTTTCTCCCACGGAGCAGCTAATGGGCTCGAATCACTGGCCTTTCGGTTAGCAGGTGAGCCTTTAACCACGATGCCACCAAGGGCTCCTCCTCCATGTCTCAGAACCCAAGAATCCTGAACCTGTGAAATCCTTGACGTTGCATCTCAGACTAAGCCTCGTTGAGTTCAGAATGGCTGTTGCATCCCAGCTACTTGTGTTCCTGCCGTTTTGAAGCTTAGAATAAATGACATTGTGCTGTACTAATCGTTGTGCACCTGACTGCTTGTTTGTCTACTCATCATTACGCTTTTCAGATTCACGCGTATTGGTATGTGTGTCTAGTTCATTCATATTAGCTGCTGTGTGGGAGGCCAGAGTGGGAAGCCACAATTTATGCATCCCTTTTCCTGGTGATGGACTCTTCCCTTGTTTCCAGACTTCTCCGTTTCCGACAAGACTGCAGTTTATATCCCTGAACACGTCTCTGGGAGTTTCTTAGGGCAGTTTGTTTCAAACTGCCGAATAAGATCCATTAGTGGGTTATGAAATCAATTTAGTGGGTTGCCAATCACTTAACCATTTGTGCTGGACTCCCATTGTTTCCAGTTATACATCTGTATTAATATCCCAATGGGAGCAAAAACGTTTCTCAACCACAGCTCTGAAGGACATAGTTGGCAGTGGATTTGTCCTGTCAAGGTTTGGTGGAGGCTGCCAAATTGCTCTCCAAAGTCGTTTGGCCATTTACACTCCTACCACCTCCTTGCCAACTCTTGGCATTGCCAGAAATTTGAATTTTTGATGGGTTTTTATGCTATTTACTGGTAGAGGAAACTGAGGCTCAGAGAGGGCAGGAACACGGGTAGCTGGGATACAACAGCCATTCTGACATAAAGACTCTTCGTCTGAGATGCAACAACAAGGATTCTACAAGTTCAGGATTCTCGGGTTCTGAGAGATGGAGGAGATTCCCTGGGTGGCAAAAATCATTTGTGCTTGGCTCCTGACCAAAAGGTTGGTGGTTCAAATCCACCCAGAGGCCCACAGAAGAAAGGCCTGGTGACCAACTTCAGCAAGACTGTTGTTAGTTTCCGTGTAGTCAACTCTGACCCATGACCAGCCCAGGTGTACAGAGTAGAACTGCTCCGTAAGGTTTGCAAGGCTGTGACCTTCCAGAAGCAGATCGCCAGGCCTTTCTTCCAAGGTGCCACTGGGTGGATTCCAACCGCCAACCTTTCAGCTAGTATTACTACCAGGGCTCCTCGCCTGTAAGATTGTTGTGTGTGCCATCGAGTCAATTCCAACTCATAGCAACCCTATAAGACAGAGCAGAACTCCCCCATAGGGTTCCCAAGGCTGTTCATCTTTAGGGAAACAGACTGCCACATCTTTCTCCCACAGTAAGTTCAAACTGCCCACCTTTCGGTTAGCAGCCTAATGCTTAACCACAGCGCCACACAGGGCTGAGATTACAGCCATTGAAAACCCCATGGAGACATAAAATGATGCTTGTGAGGAGTGTGCTTCTTAGCTCAAGTAGATACATGAGACTAAATGGGCAGCTCCTGTCCGGAGGTGAAATGAGAAGGCAGAGAGGGTCAGGAGCTGGTTGAACGGACACGGGAAATCAGGGGTGGAAAGGGGTAATGGGCTGTCACAGTGTGGGGAGGGCAATTAGGGTCACATAACAATGTGTGTGTACATTTTTGTATGAGAAACTAACTGGAAATGTAAACTTTCACTTAAAGCACAATAAAAAATTTAAAATAAAGGATCCAAACTGTTAAAAAAAAAAAAAAAACTCTATGGAGCACAGTTGTACTCTGACACACCTGGGGTCGCAATGAGTCGGTCTCTACGGCAACGTTTTTTGTTTTTTTTAAGAGATGGAGGGTGGAAGCTCAGGACAGGCTAGGGGTGCGGCGGAAGGCTTACCCCTCAGCCCTCATCCTAAACCCTCTCCCCTCTCTGATCCACCTCAAAGAATTTTTGAGGATTCAGACAAAAAAATGCTGATAAAGCCTGACACACAGGGCTTGACAGAGCGAGTGTTGAATAATGTTAGCTATGACTATTATTCTGATTCTAAATTCTCTAAGACCAAAAACCAAACCCGTTGCTGTCGAGTGGACTCCGACTTATAGGAGAGAGTAGAACTATCTCTATGAGTTTCCAAGGAGCGGCTAGCGGATTGGAACCGCCCACCTTTTGGTTAGCAGCCGAGCTCTTAACCACTGCGCAACCAGGATTCCAAAAAAAAAAATCTCTGCGTGCATATTTCAGACCAGTACCTGGCCGGGCCTCCTGGGGCGTGGCCTTGACGCATGGGGGCGTGGCCTGGGTGCCCTGGGGCGGCAGGACGGCCCGGACCACAGCGCCCCTTGGTGGCTGCCCAGAGCGCAGCTCAGGTTGGACTGACGCTAGAGGCTCTGCAGGTTGGAGAGAAGATCACGCCCCGCAAGCCCTGCGCTCACAAGTCTAGCCCCGCCCATGCATTCTTGAACCCTGTCTTCAGCCTCGCCCCCTCTGGACCCAGGAGTCTGCCTCCTCTGTAAATCGGGGTGTTTCAACTCCAGCCTGATTTTCCTCAGGCCCCCACCATGGGACCTAGGAATCCTGTCGCCAAATTCCTGCCCCCTCAGACTCCCTCCTCCCAAGCCCTGCTCCTAAGAGACCCAGGAGTCTGGTCACGCTGTGCCTTCCTTCTCGGGGCCAAAGGGATAGCATTGCCTCCCTGACCTTTCCTCCTAGAGTCCAGCTCTCTGACCTTTAATCCCAGCAGCGACCCAGGAGTTCTGCGTGCCAGCCCCACCTCCCGGAAGAATCTGGAGAGTTACGCTCCCAGCCCTACGCCCCCCCAAAAGAAGCCCCAGATGTCCCCCAGCCCTGTCCCCCACTGCAACCTTGGCCCCAGCCCTTTGTTCCTCCCTTAAGGGGCCTAGGCATCCTACCTGCAATTCCTACTCCCTAAGGAGTGCCCTCCTATCGCCACCCACCGACGCCACCCTGTCTTGCTCTCTTCTACAAATCAGACTTCCAAGCCACCACTCTAAGGGATCCAGGTGCCAGAGTCCCAGCCTCCGCCCCTTTTGGAGAAACAGACATCAGGGTTCCCTCTCCGGTTCTTCAGGGTCCGCCCCGTCCCGCCCCCACCCTGAGCCGCGCCCTTCCCTGCCGCGCCCGAAGCTCACAGTGAACCCGAGGGACCCATGGCTGCGGCGGCAGCGGCCCGTCAGGGGCGGCAGTCGGGGGACGTCCGCGCGCTTGGCCGGGCGGTGAAGCAGCTGGAGCGCCTGGAAGCGCAGTGCAGGGACCCCCGGTTCGCCTCGAGTCCCCCCTCGCTGCGGGACCTGCTGCCCCGCACTGCGCAGCTGCTGCGCAAGGTGACCATGGCTGGGGGGGCGGCAGGAGGTAGCTGCCCCGAGGGTCCAGGCGGAGCTCGGGACTTCCTCGTCATCTACCTCACCAACCTGGAAGCCAAGGGCAGGCAGGTGGCAGCGCTGCTGCCTCCCCGGGGCCGAACGGAAGCCAATGACGAGCTCTTCCGGGAGGGCTCCACACTCAGGTGAGTGGACGCCCTGACCCCAGGACAAAGGGGGATCAGGTGGGAGTCCCAGGCCACACCCTCAGCCTCCTCCTCCCTCAGACCCAGGAGTAGGGGGCCGTAGCCTCCCCTCAGACCCGGGAGTCAGGTCCTCCCAATCCCTTCCTCTCTCAGACCCAGGAGTCCAGGCCCCTCCTCCCTCAGACCCAGAAGTCCGTCGCCAGCTCCTCCTCCCTGAGAAAATGTGGCAAACTGGGCCACCCAGCATTTTCCTTCCTTGGACACCCAGCCCCACGGCTCCACATTGCCCCTCTTTCTTGGTCACCCAGCAGCCTTCGCCCCACTCTTCCTGGGGCCTCAGATACACAGTTCTGGGAACGAGGGACCCTATGGGGCTTCTTGCATCAGGAGGACCTGTAGGATTCACACACCTGGAGAAACTGATCTTTAAGCCCCCATCATAGCCCTTGCCTGGAGAGTCCGCTCCTACCCCTACCCATCGAAGCCACCCTATCTTACTCTTTTTGGGGGCATCTGACTTCCAAACCTCCTCTCTAGAGGACCCAGATGCCAGAGCCCCCAGGTCCTGCCCTCTTTGGAGACATGGGTACCAACTGTCCCCTCTCTGGCTCTCCAGGGCATTGGTCTCTAGTTCCTGAGGAACAGCCAGCTAAGGACCTAGGGATTGTCTGTAGGCAGCCCACTGTAGTGGGCAACTGAACTCTGGGGAAGTGGCCGCTGAGTGACAGGGGCAGATGAGGTTTGGGGCCTAGGGCTCAGAACAAGATCTATAGCAGTGAGTGGTTCTCAACCTCATCAGGCCCCACACCCCTTCTTTACAGCAAATAAACCATTTGGGTGGCACAAACGGTTGGCGCTCGGCTGCTAACCTAAACGTTGGTACTTCAAATCCACCCAGCAGTGCTGCGGAAGAAAGGCCTGGTGATCTACTTTCATTAAAATTACAGCCAAGATTGGTCCCAACCGACCTGGAGCAAAGGAGAATGAAGAACACTAAAAGACACAAGGAAAATATTAGCCCAAGAGACAGAAAGGGCCACATAAACCAGAGACTTCATCAGCCTGAGACCAGAAGAACTAGATGGTGCCCGGCTACCACCAATGACCACC